TAGAGTGAGGGTGGTGATGTGGTGGGAGGCTGCTTCATCTCTTATTATCAGATTTATTTACTAATTGAGCTCTGTATATTCCTAAAGAAATGGTCCTCCTGCAAGCACTGTTGGAGACCATGACTTCTGTTGCCTATGTATGATCCCAAGTGGATGTGTATTTTGGTGGAGCAAATACTTCAACCAATATTTTACCCTCCTTCCCGCACTTTTAATAAAAGGTAGCTCCAATTCAACTTCTGGTTTAACAACATTTCGTTTGGTGGCTGTTATTAGTTTTGTTTTCGAGGAATACATATCCATTACAAAATTCTCCGTTTTTTTTGCAAACATGATAAATTAACAAAATTTTTATTTATAAATTAGTTTTATTATTTAACAAAATTACCATGGATTCTTCATACACAAAACATCCCACTTCCCTGCCACCACACTGAGGCTCAGCATCCCTGGTCAAATGCTCCTTTCTCTACTAGATGCTCACACACATCAGCATAAGAAAGTCCACCTCATGAGGCAAGTGACACTGGATGTTATTTTTGGAATTCCTCATAAAAGTGCGTCCAAAAGCAATTTTTTAAATGTGACTTATACCACAAATAATACACTAAGAAGGAAATGGGAAAAATACAGGGAGAGAGCAGGAATATGAGAGGAAGAATGGTGAGGCAGCCACTCTCTGCCACCTTGTGTAGTTAAGAGTGAGATTCGTATCAGGACAATAAAAGTATGTTTCTACACAATGTGATTTTGTGTCATGACAAAAATATTTCTGGTCAATGCCTCTTTGCCTGATATTTGCTTTGGGGAGACAACAAATTAAGGCTATAAACTTGGAGACAGGCATATATTGAAATCAACAGTAATAAATGACATAAAATAGAGAAGACGGGGTAACAAAGGGCCAATGCTTTCATTCCAAAATACTATGGAGTCTTTTGTGAGCCTGAGAATCTTGTGAACCACTAATAAACCATCTGCCAATATGAGAACAGTGCAAAAACAGAAATTTAAAGAAAAAAACAAGGAAGTATATTGCTAAATATTAAAATGCATATGCTACCAGGAGCAAAGGGCTGGAAGAGAGATCACAGATGAGACATCAGAGAAAAGTACAGATCCTGTCCTCAGAAAGCTTATGTTACAAAAACTCTGAGACTGTAAAACCAACAGCAAATTCCTAAGGAATTCAACCACTGATTTCTGGTCCTAGCAACTAATGAATGTTATCATATGCATAGCACTGACTAGCTAGTCACTTAATTTTTCTTGATTGAGGGCCAGCAATACTGCTGTTTAAAAACCATAGTGAAATGCCCTAAGTAATGCTCCTTTACAAGTGGCTGGCAACACTACAAGACTGGTGAGGAATACATTTCATCCAACTGGAACACTCTAAAACCTGCATAAGCCATCAATGAGAATTGAGGAGCATATTTTAGCTGACTATCCACCTTTAGCAACTAAAGGCTCTTTAAGTATTAAAATAAGGGTTTAATGTACATTATAACTAATAGTACTTGAGATGAAAGTAAATGACCCACTACCCCCTCCCAGGTACCAAGAGGGGTCAGATTTCCCATTTATCAGCAAGTCTTCAGGGTGGGCAGCATCTCAATCTCAGGCTCTTCTGTAGCTGCTTCATGGATGGCTGAGGGGAACACTTCAAAAATGAACCAGCTAAACAAACTTCCCAGCAGCACTTGACAGAGCTACACCTATTCTTCCCATTTCCAAAGCAGTGGAGAATTAATTACCAGTTCTATGGATCTATTGTAAGTATAATAGACTAAAGAGCTATCACAGACACATTTATTGTAAAAGCACAATCCCAAGAGTGTCTAGTGGAGGGCCAAAACGATTAACACAAATGCTTTGTCAGATCAAAGATAAAACCTGCACCGCCCAATTGAGGAATGAATTAGAACAGTGGGTTATCTTTCAAATTAACCAGGGCAGTTAGTGAGGAAAATTTCATGAAAGTGTAATTCTTAGCCTTTGTGAATCCACACAGCAGGCATTCTGCCAGCTGACAAGATGATGAAATTTTCATGCTTAAAAAAAGCCCTCTTCATTTCCCAATTTAGATTAGCTAGTGTTTCTCTCCCCTTGTGTGTGTGTGTGTGTGTTGTGTGTGTGTGTGTGTGTGTGCCTATTTGCTCTTCTAAAGCAGAATTTAAGGGGAGGGGGAACACATATCAATTTTTCACTGTAAAATCGAGTCTTTCAAAAACATCCTTAAAAGCTTAGAGATATAGTCTTTAAACTGGCTTTTTATGATTTTTCAAAAAATATCATTCAATTTTAACTTTGTACAGAGGAACCAATTAGGAACAGGGCATGAAATCCACTTTGAATTAGAGCTTTCTGTGCTGCCTCAAAGTCTTCCAGTGCTTCATCAAATCTTGAGATAAAGCATTAGAGGTATTTTCCTCCTGAGAGAAAAAAGCATTTCCCCTCTTATTAAAGGAGCCAACATTAAAATATTATGATATGATGTAGACTGATTCTCAGATATATAAAACTTTTAATGTTTGTTCCATCACATTTATTCATACAGCACTATTTATTCATAACAGAAAATAACAGAATGTGTGGCATATTTTTTGAAGAGTGATTAAGAAGTATACTGTTACCCTAAACTTTGGCCCCTTTGTTCTTGACAACCAGATTTCTCAGTGATCTAGAACTATGTTCCTTGGCAGGTTATAGTGTCTGGTTAAGTACCTTACTCCTCCACTGTCTTACTAAATCTCCTTCCTTATGGAGATGACTCCTTTCTCAACGCATGTTGTTCTTCACCTGCAGTGATTCTAAAACTAAGATGAAAAAAACATGGAGGCTCTCACTGGATATAATTTTATGTCCAACAGGGAGTATTTTCTAACTTGCAAAATAGGAGGAAACTTTTTGGTCATTAGCTTCAGAGAACAGACACTTAACCTTAGTACTTATTACCAACACCAGTACACTTGGTCTACTGACCTCCAGCAGGAGTACCACCACGACCATGTATCACACTGAACTAACTGTAACCAGTATCATTTAGGGACACCTTCACAAAAGAAACACCATATCCCTCTTCTGGCAAAGTTCATTTAAGTCTGCGGTCAGGAAGAAAGAGAACACTCTACTGAAAAAGTATAACGATAAAGTATAACATATAAAAGCTCTGATTTTGAGAATATTTGAAACATTTGTTCATCATGGGGTCAGGAAAAGGATGAATAATGGACTTCTTTCTCTCCCAGACAATCACATATGCCTAATGTCAATAAAAAGAGAAATAGGTTCCTAATTTTGAGGACAGTCATAGGAATGACATTTCGGTATTTTAATTAGAAATTCCTTACACTTGATCTTAGCCAAAAGGCCGAGAAGTGATTAGAAATTCCTTAGGGAAGTCAATCAAGCAGGCAGTTAAAACAGGAAAACTCTGTTAAGTGAGATAGACAAGACAATTAAATGCTATAGAAACCTTGGGTTAAACGTCTGGACGCCTAAAGCTAGATTATTTAGCTTGAACAATACTTATATAACCACTACCCCCACAACACACACACAATTAGAAATCAATCTTTCAGTTAGGGTTATTTCTAACTATTCAGAAGATCATTTTTCTGCCTATTCCTAACTTAGTCAAAACAGATTGTCTGTTCTTAGAGAAGGAAATAGATGAGCTTCTCCTAGTATTAACATTTTCATGGTGAAGAATCTGATAGACTAAACACAGAGAGAAAACTCAGAATTCTTCCCAAGAGTCAAGAATCATGCTCTGCCCACTGAGGTCTGTAAAAGAGCTGAATAGTTTTGATTTGGGCTCTTTATGCTAAATAAAGGCCTAACATTTCACGTACTGAACATTTCATCTACTGCGGAATGTGAACCTGCAGATAACCTTTATTCCCATCCAAATGTTCATTAAGTGCAGCACAGGATTATTCACTAAAATATTTCAGACTTTCCAAAATGTAGCCATAATTACTATTTTAAAAATATCTTCAGACAATCCTACTTGGGTTTTTTTCCTTGACAAATATAAATTATTCTACTCCAAAAATCACAATACTAGAACTCTGTGTTTTCACTCTTCATCCCAATGATCTAATACTTGATTTTCATTTAATGAGTTAGATTTTAAAGAAGAAAATGCTATGTTGTATGTTAAGTAACATATAGTAGAAATTATAAAATGATACTGATCAAAGTCAAGAGTCTTACCTAAAAGAACCTGAGCATTTTTTGGAAATGCCTTGTCAGTGTAGCCTCTTTACATAAGTTACAGTGAGCATTCAAAGTAAAAGAAAATTTGTTTTAGATGACAAGTGACATAATGAAACACTAAGAAAAATCAAATAGGAAATGTGGGGTTTTTTTTAAATTTTAACTTTTTAAGAGAAAAAACGCATTCATATGAAATGTGTTAAAAACAAAACCAAAACTTTAAAAAAAGGCTTCTTTATAATGCAGACAGCTCACTCACTCTTTTGGAATTTTTACTATATGTTAATAAAAAATTAGACATTCTCTTTTAAAATGACAAACTGCATTTAAATTTAAAAGATGTTTATTCTGATTTCCTTGGAAAATTAAGCTATGAAATGGTTTAGATTACCACATAAACACAAAGTGTTAGCTAGTTGGCAGTTTATTAAAAATCACCATACATGATACTACAGGTCCAGTTGCCAAAGAAAGGTTAATATTGACTTTTCCTCCTGTGCCCAAAGATCTGAGTGACCATTTAACTTCATTTTATTTACCTAACAAGAAACTAAACTTCTTCCTGATTATATTCTCATTTTTTCTTAAAAGCAAAAGCTTCATTTCTAAAAATAAAATGAGATGAAAATCCCCAATAGAAAAATCAAATCATTTTCCTTCATCTTTTCAAAATTTCAATTCCCAAAAAAAAACCCCAATAATACAAAAAACCATTTTAAAACAAGTATCAAATCTAAGTAAATTGCATATGTAAGAAACTCACGGTGGATACTTACTTCATAGTACTTTTTAATGCAACGTCTGATGTCCATGATCAATTTGTTGCTCAGCTGTACCATAAAGGTCAGAGGCGAAGCCTTACAATTGATGTTACTGCATCGATACAAGCTGGGCTCCATATCAGTTCCCTATAGAAGTTAAGACAGACAAACAAAAGGTTAGGAAAGGTTTCTGTGATTAAAAACTTACATGCTGTCCTGCTATACAATATTCTTAACTCATTTTATTGGTGAGCTTTTTAACCTTACTTTCTCAACCACTTTCCACTCAAAGATCCCCTCACTCACACATACCTTCCACTCTTGTCACCATGATAATGGAGAAGAAAACTGAGGGGAAAACCCTGAAATCACTTTTTTTACATTCAATACATGGCAGACTCCATGGATAAAGTAGTCTCCCCTCTGAAAATACCAGTGAAGTCAAGTTACTGGAAATAAACATGCTTCTTAGAGATACTGAGTAAAATTTTAAATTTGTGTTTATTCATTCCAAACTTGAAGACAATGCAAGAATATTAATGACAATAGTTTGCTTAGTACTGCCAACTTAATTTTTAAGAATAAAGCCTAAAAATTAAGTGTTACACTACAAAATGATCACATTGTTAGCTTAGCAAATCTAAAATTTCTGTAACCCCGTCCCCTACAAATGTATTTGGGGGAGGGGAGAGAGAGGAGAACAAATTTGAAAGAATGAATTAGTAGTTGGAGAAAATGTTTTGTTTTGTTTTAAACAAAGACAAAGCAAATGTAATATACAGGAAAACTGTTGGGGTTTCTGGAGCATTTGTTTTCCTTCTTGATACTTAAAACATCTTGGTTTCCTGCTCCAATCTGGTATATAACCCTACCCCGCCACACTAAGCAATTCCAGGTGGAAGAGATTTTAGAGCTTGACATCGGCTCTTCCACAGTTAGCCCATCTGCAAGTCGTCAAGCCTCCATGCAATTAACTATCTTATTTACAGCTGTAATGAAGCAAAACTCAAGGATTTAGCAAGTATTGCTGATCTGTGTCTGCCTCTTCCTTGCACTTGCTTCCAAAGACTGCTTTGTTTTGATTCAAAAAAATGCAAAACATCTGCTGTTTGTCCAAATTAACTTAAAATAATTACTTTTAATTTAGATAAAGGATATATTTTCTTTCAGTTTCAAGGTTTTACATGGTTCTGCTGCCTACTCATTTGCCAATGGCTAGTACATGTATAACACTGCAGTGGAATCAAGTAGATTGGCCAAGTTTCAAGTTCTGATCCAAGGTCAATGATACATTTTTTGGCAGTACTTCTTGAGAGAAATGTCTCCTTGTGACTTTTTTAATGCCTGATATGCAAAGACAGCATAAAAGACCATCAGAGTAACTTTGTCAAAAAGGAGGCAAGTGGGATGTGTAAAGATAAACAAAAATTTTCCAAAAACACTTAGTTCCCATTAACTTGATTTAAGATAAAGGAAAATATTGCTCTAAGTCTTAATAAATTGGGCTGGGAGTAGAGAAATACAGGTTACTAATTAAGGAATTACCATAAAAATACTTTAAGATAATTTAGAATTTTTAGGAGATTCCATTTAAAAAACCAAGGCCAAGCATTCTAGGAAGCCAAAAACAAATATTCAAGTATACTCTATTAAGAGGTTTTAAGCAGAAACAACGTTAAGTTGTGAAGGCAGAATTCATATGATGCCAAAATTCTTTAAACACATAAAAACATGTTTTCTTTTTCCTTTTTACACATACAGTGGAGAGAAAGAGGACTTTATACTAGTTCACTCACAAAAGAAACAAAAACAACTAACCGAACCATCGAAGACACTATCATAAATATTCTCGGTTCCACATGTAGGGCATGGGCATTTGAACCTTTCACAGTCCTTGTATTTCTCTTCATCCGTGAGGTGTGCTGGGCCACCAAGTAAAGCATCATTCTCTTCGTCTTTATGATAATGATGAACTCTAAATTGGGTGGGGTCAAGTCCTATTAATGTCCAAGAAAAAATAAATTCAGAAAGGTACAATTATTGGAATTCCCTTCTCCTAAAAATACTACAAAGAAATCACAAGAGTTGTTTCAAATTCATGAAATACATACACAACCATTTGAATTCAAGATAGAGGCTCATATCACCAAGACAAATGACTTCTTTTTTTTTTTAAAGGAAATTATAAACAAAACAAACTGCATCAAAACAATGCAGAAACATGCTACTGGACATTTGCATTTGGAAACTACTACTTCTATAGGATGGTTTTTACTATTTTCTTAACATTACAATGAAAATCTCCCAAAAAATGCACTATTAAAATCTCCAAAATCAAAGTATTACCATTAAAACTGAAAACAGAGAATAAAAATCCCATTAAGGAAAAGAAGTTCACTGTTATTACAGCTCCTTCAAGTGCAGACACAACTGCTAACCCTGATTTCAATGTGGTGGTCAATTTCATCTTGGCTCAGTAGCTAACAGCATGGAGGTTGCTATCTAATTCAGTGGTTAAAATTCAGTCGCAGCATCTGTCAAAATGCAACATGGTTTTACTGTTCTGAATTCAGAAATTTAAAATACGTGCAAAAACAATGATCTACAAATTCTATAGGCCAAAATGTCCCTTGACAATCCTGAAGCCAAATATACCTTCTATATTTCAATCAAAACAACACAAGAAATCAACTGATACATAGTTCACACTATCTTGTTTCCCTAAGCTATTTAAGAAAAGGAAAGATTTTAAGGCCAACCAATTTAACTTACCCTTGACTAAAGCATGTCAAAATCTACTATATGAATTTATACCTAAAGATAATTATTCCATTCTATATCTTATTTTCTTGAAAGCATTCCTTAGCAATCCCTAAGAATTGTAGGTATTTTTTGGTTAGAAATATAAATAAAGCTATCATATTTATTTTAGTATAAAGGTAAATAAGTAATGTAAAAGTCACTGAACATAAAAGTTCAAATACTAAAAATATCTAAAAATTGTTTTATCTCTATCAACAGCTTGCATAGTTAGATAATCTAACAGATATATTTAGAATTCAGTGACAAGGTTCTAAATCCTAGTTGGTCAACTGTCAAGTGACATCTCATAATCATAAAAGACTTAGGGTTGACTCTGGCAGCGGAAAGGTGCTGAAAAAAGAATGAAAAGGAAAAAAAAACCCCACTGGGGAGTTGGCTGGTGGACAGAGTTGGAAAGAAAAGCATAACTTTGTGATTCAAAAAGAAAAAGTGAAACGATTCTTGAGTATTGGTTTTCTCACCTGCAAAATGGAGCTACTATGCACTTTTAAAGTTTAAATCAGACATTAGAGGACAAATCGTTTTCAATGATGCCGATCATGTAAAAAGCACTCAAATGCCACATGAATGAAAAAATAAAATAGTGGGTGAACATTATTTATCCATCATTTAATATTCATTCAAAATTATACATTTGGAAAAATACATGAAACGCACGTTCATTTTGCAGCCAAGTTAATAGCTGCTCTTTGTAGTAATTAAAGTGAGTATTTCCCAACATGATAGTGTATAATAAAAACAAAGACTACACATTCAAAACAAATTGAAAGCCTGTTCTTGGTAAGTGATATAAATTACTGTAACATAGATCACATAGCTCACTAGCCATGTGACCCCAAGGCTCACTATACATTTTTATTTTACAAGTTACCTACAGCTTAAGAGAAACAGCAAGTTAGTGAAGTGTGGGGGAATATATATCCTCTCATTTAAAGACAAGGACAGACAGAGGAACGGAGTGAGAGAAACCATGCCCACACCTGTGAATGGTGCCATTTCTTCTCTGCAGTGAAGGGTAACTGCTGCAAATTCCTGAACCTCTAGTTGTGAATCCAACTGTATTCACATGTCTTGTTTTATTCGGGATTATGAGAAAGCAGCTCCAGTTTTTCTCTGATGGTATGACTATTCCATCAATTTCCCAGGCCAATACTCTTCAAAGAGTATGAAAAAAAATAAGCAACGGTTTTCTAAAAGACAAGCTTCTTTCACAACCTAAATATCAAGGAACAAAGCTGGGTTTGCACACAAAACCGTGTGCAACACAGTTGCAAAACTGTGGTGCAAAACACAGTTGCGACAAAACTGGTTGGGCTGCAACCAGGAAGCAACGAAAGCTCTTTACGGGCCTCCCTACCAGCCACATCCACTGAGCACACCTGAGGCAGCTTGCCCGCTGAACACACCACAACTGGACATGGATTGTCCTGATACTTATGGCCAAAAGCCCAACAAGTGACTGAGAGTTATAAAAATTACCAGGCCTTATGAAACGTCTTCTTTAAATGTCCACTGCCACAAACCACCCTTATCTGCCCAGGGCAATCACAAAACCAACTGGCACAGCTAACTACTTCAGATTTATTCACAAGCTGATTTTTTCTAAGAAAAGGGACTTCATCTCAGCACTTTTAGCCATAAGTCAAAATGGCATATTTTTAAAATATAAAATAGGGAGAAGACATTGTAATAACCTTAAAATAATAGGTATATAACAACCCTTGTAGAAGTTACTTGGATATAAAAATATCACAAAGAAGTGATTTTCTTGGAAGGACAATTTTAAGTTCAACAGGCAAATCACAGAGTGCTAAATCTTTTTAAGAAAACATATTTATTAAGTAGTCATGTTAAAAATATGGATCATTACTGCTGGAATCCTTTTTTAAGGTTAAAATTCACGTTTAAACACCAAACTTATTCAACATGTAAGTTACTTTTTCCAAATATGCACAAAACTGGCAATAAACAGCTTATTTCAAAGTTTCAGGAAACTTAAAAGTTTTACTACTTATACCATAAATCATTAAGCCTGGAGTGAAAACAGGGAAAAAGTATCTAGTGCTGCCACCTAGAGGTAGATTTGGAATTTAAAAATGTGCAAAGTACAACTGCTACATAGAACTCCATTTGTAATTACTGTCCCTCCAAAATTAAACATTATTGTCAGAAATGACATTAAAGCAAACTCTTTATGATCACAGTTTCCATACATGCATATACACTGTATAATCAATATTAAACTGCACACTACACAGTAAGTAATCAAAGTAGTCTTTGAGCAACCAAGAGATACAAAACTCAGTTCCAAATTCCTTATCTCTTCTATGCAGAGCTTTCCCGAACTGTCTTAAAGAAACAGACTTTATGTCCCAGTTGAGAAAAATAACTTCTACTAGACTAGCTTTTGACAGATAACTTTAACCATTTGGTCCGGCACAGAATAAAAGAAGGAGCAGCCTACTTGCACTTGGCACCAGTTATGTGGGGGAAGAGCAGTCATGGAAATGATGGGTGCTTTAATTCAACCCTGTGACTTGTAGTGATCCAGTCACACCATTTTTCTTGGGCTGGAGTGGGGGTGTGGGGGGAGGGCGACAACGACGAGACAGGACAGAGGCACAGTGGAATTAAATTAAAATACTGTCATTTATAATTAGAAAATTTATAGGATCTCACATTATTTTGGCAACAGGATCAAAGCTCTCATATTTCAAGAGTATTTATAGAAAGTAACATCATGAGCATTGGACGGGATGAGTTCAGGAGTGGTTTTTTACTTAAGATTGCCCCATTCTTATCACACATACCTCCAATGTAACATTTAGAACAGGATTATTTTTTCTACCATTGTATTTTCTAACAGTTGTAAACTACTTATCTGTTTTTAGAATGTTCACTTGTCCCCATTCTCAAGGAGTATTTAAAATGCTCCAAACTCAGGGTGTTAGGTTGGGAGGCTGATATATTTGACTAAATAATCATCTTCCAAAAGACAAGGTCTTTACTAGTGCAACTGCAAATAACTACAGTAAAGTCAATTACATATGTTCATACAACTATAGGGAAGTAGGAAAAATCCATATGAATAAAATTCCAAATGAGTAGAGTAACTGGTATTCACAAGTATTCCTTAAACGAATCACTTAAAATACTAGGGAAGCTAATTAATCCTAATGTGAATATTTTTTCCTAAAAATTTTTTCTAGGAAACGAATCTTTTCCATGAACCCATGCCTTCATATATGTGGACTTCCTAGAGAACAATAAACAAACTGAAATTTTAATATGATTAAAGAAAAAAATACTTAAATGAACTTTTAAAAGGTAAATGCTACACCCATAAAAAGCCCTGTATAAGAATGTTCATAGCATCTTTATTCATAATAATCATAAATTGGAAACAATCTGAGGTCCATCAACAGGAGAATGAATATCAAACTGGTAGCATATACCATGGAATACTACTCAGCAATGAAAAAGACAATACTGATACAGGCAACAAGACGTATGAATCTCAAAAATATGCTAAGTGAAAGAAGGTGAACACAAAAAAACATATACTAGAGGAGATCACTTATGTAAAATTCTATAACAGGCAAAACTAACATATGGTTATAAAAATCAGATGAGTGGCTCCTTTTGTGAGAGGGAGAGTATGGACTGGGGAGAATACAAGGGAACTCTCTAGGCAATTGAAATATTCTGTGTTTTGATACACTGACTGTGTGATATGCATGGTAGGTAAATTATCCTTTAGAAGAAAGCACTCCAAATAAAAAACATCTGCAACATATATTACCAAAGAACTCATTTAGAATATATAAGGAATGCCTGCAAATCAGTAAGAAAAAGACAACTCAACAGTAAAATAGAAAAAGACTTGAACTGACCTCTTACAAAAGGAGATATTCAAATGGCCAATAAGCATGACAACAGGTGCTCAACTGCACTAGTCATCAAAGAAACACAAATTTAAAAAAAAAGAAACACAAATTAAAACCATAACATTATGCCACAACATGAAATGAAGAAGAGAGGAAAACACCAAGTAATGTCAGGCACTCAAACACTGCCAGTAGCAGCTCTAAATTAGTAGAACCATGTTAGATAATTGGTAACATCTACTAACACTGAACATATATGCCCGCTATGACGAAGCCAATCTGCTCCT